TGGTAAAAATAATTGAATGGTTTAATAATAAGTTGTTAACAGTTAACTTCGACAAAACTCTTTTTATACCTTTTGCGTCATATGCTAACAGCATATCTGACTATCAAACACTACCCGAAATGTATAAAATATACCTTAAAACAATTAATTCAATAATTTTCATTAAAAAATTTTTTAAAAAATATATACAGGGTGGCTCACGCTCAACGGGACGGAGCTTTATGGGAAAACGACCAAAGATATAAAAAATTCGTTTGGGAGGAATACGTAGGTTACAGACGGCTACAATTTAAAATTTGTTAGATGTATACAGGATGTCCCACATAAATGAAAAAAAATTAATTCATTAAAAATTATTCAAACAAGAGTAAACAATTAATTTCTGGGAGACTTTTTTTCCTTAAAAATTCAAATAAATCGAAAACTAATAATAATAGTAATAGGGAACCTTTAGTTAACTGACATTATTTTTGATGTAGTTTTTAATTCTAAAATAAAAAACAGGGTGTTCCATTAAAAATAATATAACTTTGTATATTTTCTCTTATGTGGGACATCCTGTATACATCTAACAAATTTTAAATTGTAGCCGTCTGTAACCTACGTATTCCTCCCAAACGAATTTGTTATATCTTTGGTCGTTTTCCCATAAAGCTCCGTCCCGTTGAGCGTGAGCCACCCTGTATATATATAATTTGATAGATTCAAAATAATCATATATATGCACAATAGGTAGGTAAATACTTTTTATTTTTTTTATTATTCTCATGTTGCTCTTATTTTGCCACTATGTAACCGAATCTCTAGAATGCATCTTACTAATTACGTATTGTCATATTATTTAAATATTGTATTTTTAATTGAGTTAATATATTTTTATTTCATTTTTTTTTCTTACTAATCTTCACTAGCTGCAAATAAACAAGTCCAACCTGTGCACAACCATTGGTTTTTACGGGTTCACACTTGACGAAGGCGGGTCAATAGATTGTTTATCTATTAGTTTTGTTGTTAATAGATTTCAGTGCGAAGGGCGCCATATTACGGTTAGAAAAATGTTACTTGCAGAGAGTCAGGCCGTGCGCGATTAATAACTTATTTTCCTTTGCTTGTCCTTGATATAATTACAACTTTGTAGTTTCCGTGAAACCTACTCATTAGCACGAACGTTTAAAGATATCATATATATTTAATAAAAAGTTTATTAGTCACCCGGTCGGTACTCTCTTATAACAACTAACCAATTATTCATTCCGTTTTTCGTGCTCATCGAGTGAACGTGTTTTAAATTAAATAAAAATCGAAGTGTTTTAAAATAATTGTGTTAATTATGCCAAAAATAAAAAGACGTGCATCTCCCGATCTACGAAAGATGCGTAAATTTAAAAAGATGAAGAAGCAAATGGAAAAATCTACCAGAATTTTCGGCGGATGAATGAAAGTGATTCAGAATCATCCGATTCTAATGATTCAGGTATTTAGAATTTTGCTTATACAGGGTCATAGTGTTTTATATTTTTTTGTGATAGAATTACTTGTGTTATATTTACAAATAAGTACCAGTTTGTTTGGGGAGAAGGCTTTGTGTAGGTAAGCTTCTGTTCAGAAACACTAGCTGCTTCAATTGCTTTTAAAATTACAAGCTTCATCCCGCTGTCTTCTTTTAGCTGATCGCAGATTACGTTCTTTACATTGTCTTTTCTAAATTGCTGCAGGGAATTTGGAAATACTTAGTGTGGGCACAGTACCAGGTTTCAAATGTCTGCTATTTATGGGCATGTATCCTAACGATCTCTGCACTTTGAAACAGGAGACTTCGTAGTGTACAGAACAAATACGAGCTGCAGAAAACATCTAGTCATAATATATGTACATGAAGTTTATGTTTATGCAACCGAATCAGCATTTTACATGACCATTGACACTGAATATTATTAAATGTGAATCAAATTTTTCATTATTCCAAAAAAGCTCCTACACTACCATTTTTCAAGTTTATTGTCTCTTCTCGGCGACATCCTACAATCCACAAATCACCATTCTTTTGAAATCGAAAATATTGGGTTGAAACAACATTTCGGTGTAGTGCGTGGACCATAGATAAATTAATAATGAAGATAGTCGGTTCCCGTGTTAATTTTTGGCAACAAACAGTGCTGCGAATTAGTATGGAACGGATTTTTTTTGAACTACACTGGCTGATTGACTTGCCAGTTAGAGGCCGAATAAGAAAGAGATGAATAAAAAAAGAAGAGCTTTAAGCGAACCGCGGTTCATTCAAATATAATTTATTATTTATTTACATTTTTTTGGCATTCATTACTCTAAAAAACTAATATTTACATCAAAATAATGCATTTAACATAAATATTGGTTTTTTTCGTAATAAAACCCCAAAAAATATAAACAAAAAATATTTACATTAAAACAAAATATTTGAAACATATATTTTAATTATTTATTATACAGTAATACATACATACATGAGCTCAATAGTAAATAACAATTGTAAGTAAAATGAATAGTAGGTAGTCTCCCCCATTCTTGGAAAAATGGACCATATTTTGTTGGGTATCCCCTGTTTCCTATAAAAACAAAACAAAAAGTGTACATAAAATACAACTTTTTCTCTTTAGGACTTAAATTTCTGACTACTTTTATTTATTTATTGTTTTTCTTCGTTTCAAGGGTCCTTCAAATTGTTCATCACTAATTATTAAGTTTGCAATTAATTTCTTGTTTTTCTTATGCTGCTATATTTGTGCTTCGGCCTCAACTTATTCTAAAATCTAATTCTCAGGTTGTATATTGGAACTGGATACTGGATGCACAATTATCTAATAAAATTGGTACAGAATGTCCAACTAATAGTTTACGTTTTGATGAAACCCTACTAAGACTCAGGCAAAAATGGTCCGCACAAAGATAGCGAGTATTATTATCTAAAGTTAAATTTAAAGTTTTAAACCAGTTCTGGCAAATTTTAATATGGGAAGAAAAATGAAAAAGGTTTAATATTTGATTAGGTATCCAACTTTCTGAATTTTAGAATAATACTTATTTAAACAATTAGGAGCTGAACAAGAATACTCTCGAGAATACTTGACTATACCCGGGCCAGACATTTCTTGTTTCAAATATAAAAACAGAATTGAAAATCTATGAAATATGAAATTATATAAGGTTAAGGAAACAATGATAAACAAAGTCCTTAAATAAATCTACACACCTTTAATATTAAATTAAATTGCTAATACTTACTAATTACATCAAATCAACACTGTTTATCTTCTTAAAAATAACTTGCTGATCTTTAGAACTTTCATCATAATTCATAAAATAAGTTTTAACATTTCATTATCATATTTGGCCTTCCGCCATCACGGTTTTCATTTTTTACGAGGTTGTCATCTCCTTCTTTTAAAAATCCCAGCAATAGTATGGACATTGTATGGATGCCATGGTGCGCATGTAGATTGATAAAAAATTAAAGATTGAATTTGAAATAACTCTCATCTCATGAAAGTTTACGGAAACCGGCAACATCGCTTTCATACTATTGCGATGGTGGCGCTAATAGTATGCTGGGAACTACCACGTGTTGACAGTGGCGTACATTTAAAAAATTCATCTTGTTTTATTAAATTATCTATGGCGTGGACTGCGATAAAGCGAGAGCGAATATATGGCAGCCCGATGTCCGATTATCGACTTACAACTTCCAACTTTTTAACCGACTTCAAAAAAGGAGGAGGTTATCAATTCGTCGCGATATTTTTTTTTTTTTATGTATGTTCAGCGATTATTCTTTAACACGGTGTCCGATTTCAATGATTCTTTTTTTGTTAGAAAGGGGCTACTTCAGGGGTGGTCCCATATAAATTTAGTCAAAATCTAATAATTGGGTCGATGAGAAAATCCTCAAACTCTTCATTTTTGATGTATGTTTAGCGATAATGCTTTACCACCTTGTCCGATTTATATGATTCTTTTTTTGTTAGAAAGGGACTACTTCAGAGGTGGTCCCATATAAATTTGGTCAAAATCTAAAAATTGAGTCCATGAGAAAATCCTCAAACTCTTCATTTTTTATGTATGTTTAGCGATAATGCTTTACCACCTTTTCCGATTTATATGATTCTTTTTTTGTTAGTAAGGGGGTACCTCAGGGGTGATCCCATATAAATTTGGTTAAGATGTGGTGATGGCATCTGCACGTTTTTGAAGTCGGTTTTTTTAAATTTTTAATTTACACTTGTAAAGTTTAACCTTGTTTGTAACCATAATACATCTAGGTATTAATCGCATCAAGACAATTATCAGTCGACTTCTTCAGTTGACTTCTCTAGACTCTAGATTCCTACTTCTGAATCTTGGTAGAGATCTTGTAATTTGAACTAAGAAAAGTGATATTGTATTTTGCCTATTTCTTACTATTGAAATCGTAAATCTTTTGCGATGATCGAATTTATTGGATAATTATTTAGTGTTTGCAAAAGTTTGCTTATTTCTTCATTTGGATTTTTAATATGACTCGTATATTTTGATTGCGGTATTTGTAAAAATGTATACTAAAACATTTCCATCCGTTAAATAATAAACCAAAATTTATTTATATTTTTTTTTTAATCTCTTTTTGCTAAAATTATATATAACTTTAGGTTAATCAGTTAATTTTGGTAATTATAATTCTCAACTAGCTTTTTAAAAATAAAAAGAGAATTTTTGGCGCCCAGTTAACCCTAAAAATATTCCCCAAAAGTGTCTATTAGAAAAGCCTGAATTCACGACTGAAAAAACTATAGTCTTATATGCTCATATTTTGTTTCTAATTGGATTAAGACCCTTTAAGGTAAGTAATACGTTTGATATAAATGTATCTAAGCGCTAGTCTAAATTAAATATAATTCTCGAATTGCTTTGGCCGTTTACAAATAACAAAGGTTATTAAAAAGTGTATAAAGAAATAAAATTAGGTTAAAATAAAAGACGTGATTACACCCAACTTCAAATTACTTTATTGTCAACAGCGACAAAATTTCATCAGCATGAAATAAACCAGTAAAAGAATGTGTATAGATAAAAAGGCGTAGACCACATAAAATTGAAATTAAAACAAAATTCATCCGTCATCGGTTGTTCCCACAATCGGCCCCCGGTCCAAGGGGCGAGATACTGGCCCTCAGGTAAGTGTACTCCTTAGCGTTAGGCAACCCGTGCACCACGCACGCGCTCAGCGCTGATCTGCTCACGTTCATCGATGCCGCATCGAACCATTCGTTCGATTCCGTATCGAAGTATTCCACGTAGTTTATCGTTGTCGAACCTAAAAATGAAATAAACATAAACCACAGCTTATACAATACAACTCCGTTTCGGCGTCTTTGATCTGGCGGTCGAGAACCAAGCAAGACGGAATGGTGCTATCTCTGTTAGATTCGAGGGAAAAGTCGGGCCCGGATTAAACAATTTTTTTATTATTGAAAAAATTGAAAACCTTGGCGTAATGAGTTTGTTACATGCCATATTAAGTAAGTTATGGAAAATTAAATTTTTAATTTGTTTTAAATCTGTCAAATATAATTAAACAAATTATTTAAATTTAAATATTGCGAAAAATAGCACATCTTTCGGATTAGAGGTAAAATAATTTGTATGTGGCTAGTAAAATCCTCGTTAACAAATGTTTTGAGCTAAAACAGTCACTTCACGACAAATTGTGGCTTGGATCCTTTTTACACCAAAGGCTTCAATTGTTAAAGAATTGTGTCACGCTCGTGGATGCAAATCAAGTGGTACCCCGTGTCTCTGGAAAGTGTTACTATTCGCGCAAAGGGTTTATACCTAGATAAACGAATGCTTCGACTGAGGTCTGGGAACTCTATGGTATTTTGGAATTATAAAGAATTTGTGCTTTTATTTTAACAATATTGGTTATATTTAGATGTATTCTTATTAATTAAAATACAGATTTGTAGAAGTAATACATTGACAATTTTTATTAATATAATATATTCAATTTTTATCTGACCATACCGAAGTAGGGAATTTTGAAATTTTATAGTAATGTGAAATTTAAATTACAATATTACACGATATTACATAATTAGTACTTATTTTAGGTAGGTACTAAATTTGTACTTGGAGAAAGTAATATCGATTTTTACAAGAAAACTTGAAAAGTAAATTAATTTAGTTCCTATTTCTGATGTAAAATTTAAACCAAGAAAACAAATAAATTGTAGTTTGTTCAACAAGGGTGGATATGATAGCCATATTACACAAAGACGAAGTTTGAGCACGACGTCGTAGGCGGAGTACTCAATCGTCTGATTGTGATATGAACAATCCACTCGATATGGTCAGTATATTTTTTCTACGACCCACTAACGAAAATCTACAAATTTAAAAAATTATTTTAGGTTATTTAGACAAAATAACTAATTTTAAAATAATTTACGAAGTTGACTAATTTTTAAAATAAAATAAACATTAAAAATTAATTAGTCCTCGGCCTAGATTCGATCCCGGGCTTTTCGCGTGGAAGGCAGATGCTTTGTCCTCATCTTCACCGAAACTTTCAGGACTTTAGTTTTAATACTCGTAATTAAATTAGTATCATGTAGTTTGATTAAAATTTATTTTTTTTTAAATGTGGACACAATAAAAACAAAAATGCTATTATTTATCGAGTCTACACCAAAAATTTTAATGTATATTTAATACCAATAACTAAAATATATATTGACAATTAGTTTAACAGAATTGTCACTTATTTAAAAATTTTTAAATAATAGGAGTTGGGTGACCAAAATATGAACTGTGATTTGTAGTTTTAATTTTGTTAAAGTGTTCTCACTACCTAAAATGGATATGAAATATATTCGTAGTTGAACGCAATAACATACTTTTTCGTTTTGTAATATGTGCGTAGATTGGCTAATATCCATGCACAGATTACAAAACGAAAAAGTATGCTATTGCCTTCAATTGAACGAATATATTTCATATCCATTCTAGGTAGTGAGAACACTGCAAAAAAAATAAATTCGCCAATCACCGTTCATATTTTAATCAACCGACTGCTATTATTTTTAAAATTTTAAATAAATGACAATTCTGTCAAACTAATTGTCAGTATATTTTTTAGTTATTGAGATTAAACATACAATAAAATAAGTTATTCTTTTGGAAAACGTTAGCATGGATGACTAAAGGGTATTGGGTTAATTAATTCTAAAAGTGTGGTACAAATGTTATTTTTTGTAGCCAATTCTTCAAAATTATTTTGAAATATCTTTTCAATATTGAATATTAGTTCTACAAATTCATCATTTGACAGTTGCATATTTCCAAATGTATCTGAATTGGCGTTATCATATGCCTTTAAAAAGCAATAAAAAGAAAAATCATCTAATTCAACGTGATCTTTGTTATATTTAAGACAGGTATCGCAGGAGTGGATCCGCAAGGCTTTTGTTAAAAGGTAACCACACACATACCTGATAAAATTTTTCTGTAGCAATTCGTCTTTACAATAATTTAGGGTGTTAATAATTTCATCATAAAATAAAATACAAGGTGTTCCATTTAAAAAACATACATTTTAATTTGCCAGGCAAAAACGTGACACCCTGTATATCCAGAGATATTTTTAAAATATGTAGGTATTTTTCAAATTCATATAACTTTTATTTAAAACTTTATTGCGTGTCTACAACAAAATAATGAACAATAACGCACTAATGGGACACCCTGTATAAATTATATTTTTAACAATGAAAATTTTTTATAATGTGGTACTTATCGGTTTGGGTCCTTGGGAAAACTAAAGAATGTTTTTTTGCAGGTATAACCCTTATTAAAACAGATTTTGACTGCACAAACAGAATGAGGTCTTTTTTTTTTTAATTATTCTACTCACAGCTAAAGAGTCACCAAAATAATAACAGTACCTTTAACTCAAACAAAATCAACGAAATTATAGGCTCCACGAAATTATACAATCAACGAAATTATACGCACGACTCAACACCTTACCTAAGTACGATTCTGAACGCCAAAACCGTCTTTTCCCTTCGAAGGCGGAGCTTAAGCGATGCGCGACGAAATCGACGCAAACCGTTGCCGCCAAGAGAGTGTTTTAGCTGTATTGTATAAGCTGTGCATAAACTATTAAATTATAATTCAAATAAACGAGTGCTGTATAGTGTATAGTATCATTGATGCCAATTTAAATACAGTTTTCTGACAAGAATGACAGGTAAGCTCCATTTTCAAAAATGGTACGTTTTTAAACAGTGTTTGTAATTTTAAAATGATTACGTTATTATTTCTGAAGTCCAAATAAATAGCAATAGCTCCTCTTATAGATATTTAGGGAGCATTGAATAATGCTCATACAGTAACTATAATAATTAATTTACTAACAAACGACAGTCTATAAAAACTAGTTTATAAATAATAATGATTAAAAGAAGCAATACTGATGGCTAGAGATGACTAAGGCTCTTTTTAAAGGCTACCTACAGACCGGATCTGTAAAGTGACTATCCCATAACCAGCGGTGTCTTGAGAACAATCATCAATAAAATGCAGTAGATGATAAACACATTTCAGGAATTGTGAAATAAATCACCAGGATAGAGACAAGTCCCTTTTCGCGCAGGGAATAGTGACTGTTAAACTACATAAACAACCAATCAAAATTAATCGGCTTAACGCAACAACAAACATACCTTTACTAACCTGACACAAATCTGTCATTGAATCCCCCAATCACAAAAATATAATCGTCCAAAATGACGGTGGCGAAGTTACTTCTCGGCGTCAGCATATCGGAGATGGACGTCCAACCGTCCGAAACGTCTGGCGTGTATTTTTCTCCGCTAGCCAGTCTGGTGTAGCCGTTGAATCCACCGATGGCGTACAAGGTGTTGTGGAATGATACCAGAGAGACTCCCGAACGGGCGGAGTTCATTTGTGATATAAAGGACCATTGTCTGGTCACCGTGTCGTACACTTCGGCGGAGTTCATGACCTCTTGACCATTGAAGCCTGAGAAAAATATTCTGATTATCTTCGCCTTAGATTATAATTGCACTATATACTAACCTCCAACGATATAGATCTTGTCTTGGACAGTGCCAGCGCTAGCATCTGATCTCTGTTTCTGCATTGGCGGTATCAGTTCCCACTGGTTCTTTTCGGGATCGTATTTTTCAGCTGAATTCATCCTGGTTCTACCGTTATAACCGCCCATGGCGTATATTTTACCATGATGGACCACCACGCTGACATAGCACCTCGGATAGTACATGCACGATCGTTCGCTCCATTTGTGATGAACTGGATCGAAACATTTGACGGTGTTGAAGTACTCGTTGCCGTCAAATCCACCTGAAATGCCAGAAATAATAACATTCATTATCAAGTACGAAATTTAAAGCAGTGAAATATCGTCCATCAGGATAATAAACAGGAAGTAATGTATAGAAGATCCTTAAGCCACGCCAGACTTTGAAGTGTACCTACTTACCTATCATATAAATGAGTCCATTTAAATTACATAGCCCGTGATAAGCTCTCGGAGACGAATCCGTATCGCAAGAAAACAACCATTTGTCAGCTCTGCTATCGTAAGTTTCCAAAAAGTTCGTCGGGCTTCCCGCGCTCCATCCTCCTACCGCGAACACAACGGTGAACGGTATTCGCGGCCTAAATAGGTAGTTGTGTATGTAATCCACGTCGTCGTCCTGATTTAATCCTCCTAGAACGGCCAGCACGTCTTGTAGGTACTCCTTGCATTCGGCGTTTTCGTCGATGAGGTGCCACCTGGATATTTCCAGGACGCTGTCATAAGTCAGCGTACCCAACCTGAAAGAAATGTTTTTTTATTGCAAACAGAGTTGTCATTTGGAAATTACGTTTGATTTTACGTTAATTTAAGAAAAACAAAAAACCTCTCAAGTTTAATATTAAGAGGGAAGTAAAAAAATCTTATTCTAACCTAACCCGTATTAAACAACAATTCCTATCTTGCGATGTTGTTATTATTATGCATGGGGTATTAATACACATCAACCTAAAAGTTAAGTAGATCGCACTCTTCTATTTGATTTCATCCTTGTATTCACAGAATCTGCACTCACTATCTTCTGCTAGTCCTAGTTTACTTGTCCTTTGAGTCGGCAATACCCGGTAAGGAGCCCTGTCATGATCCCTGTTACAATGCTCAAACGGATACAAGCTATCGCCCAGACAACACACCAAATCCCAGAGATATCCACAGAATATCTTTTGTGGATATCCAATATATCCAGAGGATATCAGAAATATTCCGTGGATCTAATATGGATATCCAAATGTCCGTCTATATCCAGAATATAGAAGATATCCTAATGGATATCCAGCAAAATATCTAATGGGTATCTTCCAGAAAATACAAGAAATCCCAGAGATATCCACAGAATATATTTTAATGGATATTCAATATATCCAAAATGGATATCCATCCAAATGTCCGTCTATATCCCAGGATATAGAAGATATTCGGATATTCAGCAACATATTTTATCTTTAGTAGAGGTTCATAAGTAATCAATGATTATTGAATAACGTCGAAAGAAAATAGCAGAGATAAAAAATATTTTCAACACTCAAAATATTTTCAACACTCTGCCTTTGATTTTGCCCACTAAGGAGAAAGTCATCCTTATTAGGACTCTTCAGCAATAAATGGAAATTCTCGACTCCAGTCTCTAATGGAGTCTGATTAGAACACAAATTTCGATCGAACTCAATTACGGCGGGCCGAGCATGTGTAGATGCGAAAGTGGTATCGCCATCTATACTTAGTAAGCAAAATCAAATAACATCTAGACTTTGATATATTTAGCGGATGTCCATGGGATATTGAATACACCTTAAAAAAATTTATTTTAAATATCTGAACAGTACTATTAGCCACAATGGCGAGCACAATGGCGTAATTTTTTAATCATTTACTATATAATTACTATTATTTATGGACATTTGCATGTCTATAAATTACATATCATGGATATAAAATAGATATCCACCATGGACTGGACATTCACTGGATATTAGGATGTGCAGTAGATATCCAAAGGATTTGCTGTGCTGTCTGGGCAATCCTTTCTGGTTATAGTCACCCGGAAGTATTTTAGCCTGTCTTACTCCCGATCAATTGTTTCAATTATCGGTTCTTCTGCTGCCCATTTCTTTTAAATTTTTTCTAATATTGTGTTACTGCAAAACAGCTCAGGTTCCACAAAGGGTGTTTAAGCCCCTTTCCTTGCGAGACTATCTGCAATCTCGTTACCCTTTACCCCGTTAAATCCCGGGACCTAAGTGAGAGTAACTGTATTTTTCTCGCCAATCTCATTCAGTTTTTCTTTGCATCTCTCAGAGTTTCTTCCGATATTAAACTAGATACACTTCATATCACAAGATATGGGTTGTCATTTGACATTTTTAAGAAGAATTAGAGAGTGCTTAAGGGGTGAAACTAAGAAATAAGTGAATAACGTTTTTAAACTTTTTCCTTGATATAAAATTTAACTTACTTTTGTTTTTCTTAAATTTTCATAAAATCAAAAACTGGTATGATCATCATAATGATGGTAACTTACCTAATACATTTAACCAAATTGGACAAATGAACCTTTCTTTTGAGAGGCGAATAACATATCCACATTTTGACAGCATCAAACACCGTTTCTTCAGTTTTAACATTCAGCTCATCGTCTTTCAAAATGGCTTCCAAGTGATGAGACGGTATATTGTAAAATTCATAACTATCTTTTAATAACCTACAATTAACAGTTTCGTATTCAAAAAAAATTATATCTTTTAGATAAAATCAAATGTATATATTTGCCTAGGAAAGTTATGTCTAATGTAAAGCTTCCCCTTCTCTATCAAGTCCTTGCAAAAATATTGACTGGCAAATTTGAGTATTTCCAAACAATTGGCCGGGCATAATTCATCCATCAAAAAATTACAACAAAGTTGAACTACGTCCAGTATTTGGTATTGATCGGCGTATTTCAAAAGGTCCTTTACGTTGGATTTCGTTATGTTGCACGATCCTGTATATGCGTAATCTAAAAAATAAACAATAAGTGAACAAATTGTTTTTTCATTTGAAGATTCGCAAATTATTTCCAGAATTTTCTCTAAGAAATTATGATATCTATAATCACAAGGATGAAAAAAAAATTAATGAAAATATGAAAAGTCCACTTGCTCCGAGCCGGAATCAAACCAGACATATCTATCTATAGGTTCAACAACTACAAATTCCCGTTAAACCCAAGTTTAAGCAACAAGATGCTTTGTATAGACCTTAACTATTAACCAGTACATAGAACACCAGTTAAATTACAGGCTTTAGTTAAACACATGCGCACAGCGTATAATGTAAGATGTTTCTGTTAATGTTATTATGTTTTTACAATCATTAACCTCAAAATTTAATTCAAAGAAATTATGTTTAATAATAAAGACGATCTATATATTTTAAATATGGCTCTGTCACGAAATAGCGCGTATTAAAATTGCACCCGAATGAAATAACGCTATTAAAATAGCGCCTTATCGAAATGGCGTTAATTCATTAAATAATTGTTTCGTTCTATCTATGTTTTAACTAGAGTTATTTTAATAAACACTAGTTCAATCTGGCGCTGTTTTAGTAACGCGCTAATTTGAGTAGGCGTTATTTTCTTGGGCGCTATTTCATTCGAGCGCTACATACCATTTTCATTTGACTCTCAAACAATACACGTTATTTTAACTCACGCTACTTTGTTCGTCAATATTTTGTGACACAGCCTTTAAATATAATTGAGAACCAAAAAGAATCTAGACATTTTGGAGGACGAATTGAGACAATTGAAATCGGGATAGTCCTAGAAATCATAAATGGGTTTAGGATATTAAAAACGTCTATAGATGTATTCTTGAACAAATTGGCATATATTTCAATAGAAATACTCAACCTATGTATCATAAAGTTAGCCACAAATAGTTTAACAGAAATTTTCACAACGTACCTACATTTTCAAGATTGATTATCAGTTTAAACTCAAGGTTATACTGAAGTTTAAATTATACTATAAACATAACCTATACCCTAAATTGACGTGTTTTATAAATATATGATCATGGTAAAACAAATCTTACCTAAAACGATCTGAAACATATCGGCCGGTATACTGATTCTAGCCTCGTTGGCTTCCTTTTGATCTCTGTTAATCGAATTCGTAAACAAGGCTTTAAAGTAAGGACTGACGGCAGCCAGTATGGCTCTGTGTATTTTAAATTCCGTACCGTCCTCGCACTTGACAAGACCATCGCATAATTGTGATTTCTTCCTGAATTCTGACCATACTGGCGGAAAATCAAACACGCTAGTCTACAATACAAATGATGTTAACTAAATCAAGAAGAAATTAGATAATTTCGTTGTTACTAAAACTGCAGGTAGTGATATAGTTATAATCGATATAGTTATAATCGACATTGTAGTGTTTTAATGAATGTGGGAAGCCTAACAGGACGGCCAAAAATCAGGCAAAACACAACACTATGGAAATAATTTTGAGTAAAATAAATTAGATTTTGTTAGGACTGTGGACCATGTAGCACCCCTTCTCCTCCTTTCTTATCTACTGTAACTATTTTTGATCAATAATTAAAGTACTTTGTCTAGTTTGGTATTTTCCTTGGGTTTTCTTCTCCAAGTGAAAAGAATCTTAGTCTCGATAGACCTTCGCAATATCACAATACGGACACTACAGTTTTATTCTCTTTCTAACAGAATTGACCCAAGGACTTTTCTGCCAGGCTGATATTATATAATCTGTCTTTTAAGCTTACAATGCCTAATAGGCCTACTAGTTTTCTAGTATTTTTTATGTACTAGCTTAGTAAATGCTTGGTGAGTTCTGATGATGAACTCTATGGCCTAGTGAATTGTTATACCATTCTTGGGATTTGATTAACATTAATTGCTTTGTACATGTTTTGTGATACCCGAGAAGGGTTCTGGGCCAAAAAAATATTTAGGATTCCTTTTCGAGCTAGTAAATCAGCCTTTTCATTGGTCTTATGTCCACTGTGGCCTTTACCCAACTCTATTACTACTTCCAAAGAGTTCCATATGAGCTTTAAGTCTACATGCATGGAACTGACTGATTTTACCGACACTTATCTATCAGAGTGTATGATAATGGTTTTTTCCTTTACCTTGTCTTAGTAAGTCTTTTATGCAGTGATGTATTGCTTCTATTTGTCTGGAATACTGTCACCTGTTTACCTAAACTCAATTCTTGCCTTTGGTCTAATATTATGAGTGAGTAACATAAGGGGTTAACTTTTTACTTTTAACAGGCCCAACTGGCAGAAAAATCTTAAAAAAGGACTAGCAGAAATCGACATAAGTCTCCTTTGCGCTACACTCAATGAGAAAACGAGATGTCAAACATAGAGGTCAAAAAAAATAGTTAATATTCATGAAAATTTGCTTCGAAACCAAGCAGAAACCTATAGATAGTTTAAAGAAAGCCAAAGTTTGCAAGCCAAAACAATATCTGAAACTGCCAATGACATTGAAAGGAAAAGCAAGATGGTTTCCTTACTGTATACTTTCTTTGATGATTTCCTGTTATTAAATATTAATTTTAGTAATATATCATGGGTACCTTTCTGTTTCATTTCAAAAATTTAGGGTTATATATTCCCTCTTTTCGTTTAGTCTTCTGGTATACAATGTTTCGTATTCCTAATCTTAGTTGCTCTTAAGAGCTCCGACATATACCTCGGTACTATTGAACTGTACAGGGTTTTTTGTGTGCGAACTCAACATCAAAAGTTGAGGATCCCACTGCTGTTTTAACTGTTTACTACCAGAGGTTTTAGAAAAATATACCTATATAAATTGTTTTGAATTTGATGTGCTTCCAACTTTTGCATCGAACATTATGGAAATGTAAGTTTTTAAAGAACAGCCTATCAATTATTTTTATACTAGCAGGTTTGGCGACCACTAAATCAGCCATTAGTGGTATACGAGATGAAAGGATAAGCCTCCTATGTACTAACTCCGACATATGTACACACTGTATGCATAGTTTTTCAAAATGGGTTTCAATCTAAGAACAAGAACAAACCTAGCGAACAGAATATTTTAATTTTGAAGAAAATGGTAGCAACTCATAGCAAACGCATATATAAATAAACTTTGATAGTATGTACCTGGAACCCACTGCACACGCACCTCCTACACACAAAACTGGAACTTTTTTTCCTCTTTTTCGAACTTTTGTTATTGGTCGCTATAATTTCGTCGTTTTTCGTCCGCGAGGGAATTTTTCTTAGTCGCATTGTAAACTCCATTATTTTCGTTATATTTCTAGAATTTTTTCTAGTTGTGGTTCAACGCCTGGAAATGCCACTTTGTACAATGACGTTTTCATTATCACTCTTGAAGCGGGTTACAATCATCGCAGCTACCTGGAAAATTTGAAATTTGCATCGACGTGACGTCACTAGTGTCAATTGTCAAACAGTTGTGCCAACTTTATGCAAGTTTCAATAATTAAAGTATTATCTAAATATTATTACCTATCCACATTTCCCGTTGTTTGACAATTTCTCATTACTCACGCGTGAAAAACTGCGCGATTTTGAATCTAGTAATATTCCAAATAACTTACTTTCTTATCCTCGCCTGGGGTAACTCATATAATATTCCAAGGGTTGACTACCATGATTACCCCTTGTCATCGTTACTTTTAACCACATACTTTTAACAACTGTCATCGAGTCTATATAGCAGGGGAGCCAGATACACTCTTTAAGTACACATTAGATTATAAATCATTAGTTCTTACCTTGTAAATGTAAAAGATTAAAATACTTTGCTGCAGACGCACCAGTAGTGAATCACTTGCTGACGACGCCTTTAAAAACCGATGTATAAATTGCTAATAGAAACAGTTTGCTGCCATCTTGGTAGTGGCAGAAAATCTTCAAGTTTGGAAAATAAAATTCTTGTATTTGGTGCAATCAAACTGAAGGTGGAATATCCTGGCAGCAAGAAAGAAGGTACTGTGAGCCTAATTTCGAGAAGGTTACAGTAAACTTTTTTCTATTAACTTTTAATGAAAATAATATCTTAAAAGTTTCAAGTTTGCGCTTTTTTGACAGAATTTTCTACACAGGCGTTTTGAAGACGTTGTCGTTGAGGGCTTCATTGCTACAGAGACTGTATCAAAGTATTTTCATGTTTTACGAGGTAAGAATGAATGAAATATTCGTAATTTTGCGTTTTGCAAATAACACACCAAAAGTGTCAGTGGTCCCCTTACCAATATCCATAAAAAAAGATATTTTCGGATGTTTAATTGGAACTCAAAGTAGGAAACATAACAACAATAAAATTTGATGATTTTTAGAAAGAAGTAGAATTTGCATATGAGTTATAGAGATAATCAATAACCAGAAGTATCTAATCACAAATTGTCAAAAATTCATTAATAAACTTCAAACTATATTTATTTTTTATAATACTTAATAATTTTGTTGATAATATTTAGTAGAATATGTATAAAAAGATAATTTGTACTTACAGAAAAATTCAAAAATGTGTATATAGATGAAATTTACCTGTTTTAGAGAAATTTGAATATTGGTGTTTATTATTCTGTTTGACTGATAAACATATGAGTTTTTACAGAGTGTTAAAGTCTGTAGTGACTGACCAAATAAAATACACTAGGTTTGATCATACAGCTTCATACTGATGTAAATCTCACTCGTGGTTAGACTTTTTCCTTGTCTAAGAACTCGTGCATGAATGCGTTCGTTAACAAATAAGTGCAAGTGTCCACTAGAAAACTGTAAATAAGGTTTCAGAAGGCGGACAGAATGGCGCTCGTGTACCAAAAGGGTATGATTATTAAAGATAAGATGTGTTCTTTTATTCAACAATTGTTCCATCAGTGATTAATGCCATGACGTCACTGATTAATTTCTGGTGGAAGGTATTTGCGCTGAATAAGAACGAACGACCTTTCTCAAATGAAAAATTTGAAGTTTGATACCGCTTTAAAAATTAAATCCATTTTAATTTAAATTAACAGTAATTTATCTTTTCTGTAGCCGTTTTATATTTATACTTTTATATTGTAGGTTAACTTTTGTCTACATAATCGTGTTCATACATTCAAAAAAATTGATTAACTCTCCCTGCCATTCATCCATCACATATCCATCGGCTTTTAAAGCCGATGGATGCGTTGGCTCATTGGTGAACTCACCCTTAAAATTGTAATATTCAAACTTTTTTATATATTTTTCAAATGTTATTATGGAAAACAAAAAAAATAAAATTGTATTTTAAACGATCTATTAATTATAAACATTTTATTTTATAAAAAGTTTAATTAAATAACCGATGAGGTATTAATAACGCCTGTTTACTTGTTTGTACCTGGCAACTCTATAGTTGTACTAAAGGGAAATAACATAATCGGAGAAGTTAATCAAAAAATGAATTAAAGTTAGTATTAGTCCGTGATTTAGCTAGACAACCCATTTGCGATTTATCAATGTGCATATTATCTAATATAATCTTTGTCATCATAAAATAGCAGATGAAGGTATATATTTTTTTAATACCATATCTCGTACTACCTCGGTGAAGACGTTCAGGGCCAAGTTAGGGCGCACCAGGTGTTCGGGGGGTCGTTTTCCACGTAAAATTCGGATTCAGCGCCCCAAAAAATCCCCGGAACGATTTTCGGTTCGTCTGTTTCAATTGTGTCTGGAAACCCCTCGGGGATGACGTTCAGGGCCAAGTTCCGGTGCACCAGGTGTTCAGGGGGTCGTTTTCGACGTGAAATTTAGATTCAGCGCCCCAAAAAACTCCGCTCAATCATTTTCGGGTTGTTCTTGTCGATATTGTGAGGAAAATTCTCGGAGATGACGTCCAGGTCGAGGTTTGGGCGCACCAGGTGTCCGGGGGGTATTCGCCGATGCCATATTTGGATTCAGCGACCCAAAAAAATCCCGATCGCCTAGTTGCCCTCCTTCCCCGCGTGAATTTTGGGAGAGTCCGACGAAGATGACGTTCGTCGACGTTCCTGAGCTCTAGGTCGGCTGTGGGTCAATTTAGACATCATAATCGTGATGAGCGACCTAGAAAACCTCCGAGAACCCGATCTGGGCTAGTTCTGACACTTGCTTCGACTACATGCTACTTTTATAATAACGTTCAGATTATTAGTCACATATAAATTAGAACATGTAGAATTAAACCTAATTTTAACGATTTAAACAATATCGTAGAGATTTCATATTTATCTATCATTAAATTCATTAACTTTATTTATAAACTATGAAATATTTTTGGTTCAATGATTTGATATGCTATAAATAACATTCAAAAGAAAATTGTCTACGTCTCTTCTATAAATAAACATAAAGATAAACTATCTCCAATTACTATTTCTAATAGCGTGCTCTCCAAATGGAGAAACAACTCTGAAATGGCAGAGTAAATTCGATAGTCCTTAACGATGATTGCCAACCTGCCCACGAAACTATTTTAAATGCCTCTGTTGATGTCTATAATTCGATAACGTCTTCATATCTCTAACGAGCTTCTTCCTACATTATTTCAAGTTACGATATAAGCAGTTTTATGTTTGCACAACATTAATATATTTTCAGAAAACTGGAAATAATATTTGATATAAACAGGGTATGGCGTTAAAGTTTTTGAACGATCTACACAAGATATTTGAATTCTCAGAAACTGTAAGGGTTGAAAACGTTGAGTATCAAATTGTAATCTATTTTTTTACACGTTGGGCCAAATTAGTAAACTTCTTAATAGACCTCAGTCTATCGGCCGCATCGTACCTCCGACTAAAATTTTGTGAAGAGGTTAACGGGACCATCAGGAAGTGTCATCTGCAAAGATTTAATTAAGAACCCCTACAAACGTGACGTCAAAAATACCTGAAAAAAAAAACCTACGTACCTCCGGCTGAAAATTTACGTATCACCTCTTTGTAGGTCACATATGAGGTAAATCAAATCGTCAGATAGCTGAAGGGGTGCCAAGCGCCCTCAAATTTGTATTCTTTTTGTCGATTTTTTTTGTTGTCTCTGTCTTACGTTTTAACATATCTCGCAACCCTTTTTAAATTTATGATACAGGCCGCTGCAAATTCCTCCTGAAATACCGCGTTATGTCCTGTTGAAAACATCTTTACAATGTACGATGCCTTTACATAATGTATACCCTTTCTCGTGCGCTGAATTCAAATAGTTTATTCAATGTTGTATAATTTTCTTTAACATAGACTATATCTTAGAGGCTACGCCACTGTGATTACAATCATACTGTCCCAGTAGCAAAGTAGAGAACTAATTTCCCAAATTTAACCGTATTTACCTAGCGATCTCAATCCCCAAAATTTAACTATTAATTTCCCCCATAAATCAAATTCTCGAGCAACGAAACGGAACAGGAATTTCAAAAAACACTTTCCCTCGGTAAATCTCGGCCTGACGTGGATTCCAAATTCGGCAGGAAGGACCGAACAAAAGGTAACGTGCCTACGAGGGACTTGAACAAAGACGGGCGGGTGCCAGATGGTAAATTGTTGTGCTACGATTGCAGTTGTTAATAAATTCCAGTTGATTGATTTATGGCTGCATTAGAGCCTTGGAATGAGCCATTAATATGATGAGAACGAGCCACAGAAATGCTTGTGTTAAGCGGTTTTGTACGTTCATCTGTGCTTGAGTCGGTTTGTATTGAGTGCTAACTATACAGGGTCAAAGTACAATATATCCGATAATTGAGACGATATGAAAACATGTGACGGTCATTCTTTATTATTTTTTCAACGGCGATCACATTTTCTGGATAAATTTTAGACGCCATTATACCATTTACAGTTCATCAAATTTCTAGAGGCTTTCGACGGCTAGACAGAGAAAGCACTACTGAGAGGCATCGGTTGGCGGGGCCGACGGATTTACGCAATGAAAGTACACTCTGCGCATCAAGTATTTCACTATTTTATTCAGACGTAAATGTCAGATGTAAATTTCGCTAAAACATTTCTTTTATTTTCGTTTGTTTTTTGCTCATTACAGTTTAATAGAACCTAAGTATGGAGTTTAATAGCAAATTTAGAGGCCGCGTGATTAACAGTCAATCTCGCGAAGTAATAGCCAATGTTATAGAGTTTATGAGAAGAGAAGGAAACTTTAATTCACCTTCAATACCATTTAAAAATGTAAATGATCGTGTTGCTGCAGCCACAGGAGTATCTAAAAACACTGTCGTCCGCATTTCTGGAGAGAAAAAAAGAATCGATAACCGTGAGATATCGGAATTTTCATCACCAAGAAAAACCATTAAAAAACCAAAAACAGTTAATGATATAGATGAAGCTGACAAAGGTATTTTAAAAAGAATTATTCTGTTCATGTTAATCTCGGAAAATATTGTTCCAACATTAAAAACAATTCTGACTAAATTTAGAGAAGCTACAGGGTACAAAGGAAGCTATGAAAGTTTAAGAAAAATAATAAAGTCGCTAGGATTTCGTTGGCGGAAAACAAAAACAAACAGAAAAATATTAATGGAAAGGTTTGATATTCAAAAGCTACGTTTAGACTATCTGATTCGTTTAAAAAGTTATCGAGCAGAGGGCCATCCAATTGTCTACTTAGATGAAACATACATTCATGCCTCCCACACACACCAGAAAGCTTGGAGTGATAATTCAAATGAGGGATTAAAGAAACCAATTAATAAAGGTGATAGATTAATTATTGTCCATGCAGGAGGTGAAATGGGCCTTATTCCGAATGCCCGGTTAATTTTCAAATCTGGAACTAAAAGTGGAGACTACCACGATGAAATGAATTTTAATAATTTTTCTAACTGGTTGAAAGAAAAGCTGTTTCCGAACCTCCCTCCAAGAAGCGTCATTATTGTTGATAATGCTCCTTACCATAATGTCCAGGTAAATAAAGCACCAACGTCAACTTCTAAAAAAGCTGACATGTAGGATTGGTTAAGGAATCATAATATTGCTTACGAAGAGGATATGCTCAAAACGCAATTATACAGTTTAGTGCTATTGCATAAGTCACGATTTAAGAGGTATGTAATTGAAGAAATGATAAATGAACATGGTTTTAGTTGTTTGCGTTTGCCACCGTATCATCCCGATCTTAATCCGATTGAATTAGTTTGGGCATCATTGAAACAATATGTAGCTAGTAACAACACTACATTTAAGAGGCAAGACGTACAACTGTTGTGTGAAGACTTTTTTGATACGTTTTCTAAAGAGGAGTGGCAATCTCGTTGTAATAATGCTAAAATGTGGGAATCTAAATTTTATGACAGAGAAGTTACTTTGGATGAGGCAACTGATAGAT